ATTTATAACCGTCCAATTGTCAAACTCCGAAGAAGAGGATCAACAATGATTGAACCGTAACCGATGACGTGAGCTCTAGGTACAAGAGCAGCCACTTAAAAGTTAAAGTGCTACTTTCGAGGTGCTACTTCAAGATCCTGAATTAATTTATCGAACTGAAACTTTAAACGCGAGCTGCGTCTAAGCTTTACCAGGATTTCTAAGTAGAAGCCGAGCCAACTGCCACAACCAAACATGATTGAGGCTGCATCTTTCCATCACAGAAGACCCGGTGCTGTACTCAATAGTAACTCTATCGTCCCCTTAGATAATATAATTATTGGAAATGATACATGAACGTGCGTTGATGTATACAATGGCAAGTGCGGATCCCAGGGCAACAAAGTTCGTTGATGCATCATTGCAAAACAAACAGATTTTGTATTCTTCAAAGTTCATCTTATTAACAAATAATCTATATACTCGATGAATCGATACTGAACTTTTTTTCACCGCGACATTGACAAATATACGCGGCAAACTGTTAAAACGTTGTTAAGGCGTCAGCAAACTTCATTTCTTTTATAAATGTTACGAACTTGTTCAGTCGGAACTAATTGATGAGAGATGTTGTGTTTTGGTGAGAGCTTTCAAAATAATTGGCTCCTGGCCGTGGAAAATTTAACCGATTTGCGGTAGCTATACGAAAGATATAGCGGTAGGTATATTTTTGTGTCAGAAACTGGCGATCATTTTCTGGATTAATAACAACAGGTTTGCCTCAAATGTCAATTTTCTTTTTCAATTGAAAAGATGTGATTAAGTCGACGTAAAAAGATTAGAAAAATTCAATTTTAACCAGAAAATACGTCAATTATGCTATGTTGATTGATTCACATCTGCAAATGGACATGATCGCGTTCAATGCCAGTTTTTACAACACTTCTCTTTGACTTCACTTCTTGTTGTTTGTCTGCTACAAATCTTATAATCAAAATTTAACACACTTCTACTTATCCTATCGATCTGAAATTTTGCACACTTGCGTAAAGTTGGAGCCAATGCATGAATTAAATGACAAAATAAATGACTTTAAAATTAAAAAAAAAATTTCAATGTTAAAAAAATTGAAAAATAATTTTGTCAGCTGCAAATCTTATAACTGAGATTTTACACACTTTTACCTGTCCAATTGATCTGAAATTTTGCACACTTGTGTAAAGTCGGAGGCAATGAATGAATCAATTAACAGAATAAATAATTTTGAAAAAAATGTATATTAAAAAAATTGAAGAATTAATTTTTTAATATTTGAAAATAAAATGAGAAATTCATTTTACATCTGTAACATTGGAGACATTGGATTCTCTAGAAGTGTTGTCCTTAAAAAGTAATTTTTAAACGTATATTATTAGAATTCCACCCTGTATAACGTAATAATGTGGCTATGTAGCTCATCAGATACGTTGTACAACAATAGAGAGGTTTTAACAACGTCGCATCATTTTTTTTCTATCAATTATAAAAACCTGGCAGCTACATAGCAACTTTTTTTTTTGTATAGGCAATATCCGCTGCCAATTACACCATTTTAAAGGGATAATAATAGAATTTATACAATTGATCTTCATATAATTACTGATTTGTATAAAAAATATAAATATGGTAAAATTACGTTAAAATTTGAGCAAGTTCTCGCTAACCTCACAAGAGGTAATTGAAAATACCAATTATTCTCCTAGCAATGCCCATTAAATCAATGCAGCTTTACTCGCGTTAAGTAACATAAAATTAACAGCTTCACCTCTCTTCGTGTTAAAAAAAATAGTTGGCAATATGAAGAGAGGCATCACTAGAGAATTTGTAACGGTTAGTCGCCATATGTACAGCGTAAGCGATCCATGGTAAGGAATAGCGACTGTTGACTAGCGCAAGATGACGAGTTATTTCGTGCATTTCAGGCTATTTCGTGCATTTCAGCCGACATTTCACCCGGCGAGTCTTGAAAGTGTCGGGGATTACGTAGGTGAGAGTGACTGGGAGAGTAAAAAGGGCAGGGGAAGGTGGTAAGTGACAGTGACAAGGGAAACTGATGGGTGAAAGGGACAGAGAAGGTGACGAGTGAGGAGACTCCTAAATATAAGGGCTACAAAGATAGAGTACACATATAAAGATCAGAGAGAGCTTCCAAATAAAGAGATCTCGCAGACGAGCTATAGGAACTGGTGAATTATATATTATAAAAGCGTATCATGATTTGCTTTGTACGAGAGGTCATTTGCCAGCTGCTCAACGCGTCAAAAAAAAAACACCCACCGCTGCAGGAGGCAACCCCCACCCACCGCTGCAGCAGGCAACCCTCACCCACTGCTGCAGCAGGCAACCCCCANAGGCAACCCCCACCCACCGCTGTAGCAGGCAACCCTCACCCACCGCTGTAGCAGGCAACCCTCACCACCGCTGCAGCAGGCAACCCTCACCCACCGCTGTAGCAGGCAACCCTCACCCACCGCTGTAGCAGGCAACCCTCACCCACCGCTGCAGCAGGCAACCCTCACCCACCGCTGCAACCCTCACCCACCGCTGCAGCAGGCAACCCTCACCCACCGCTGCAGCAGGCAACCCCCACCCACCGCTGCAGCAGGCAACCCCCACCCACCGCTGCAGCAGGCAACCCCCACCC